GTTCACGCATATTGTTAGATTGACAGCATGAAACAAGGTGGAGGACACTGTGTTCGGAAACAGTGACCTTACTACAACCTTCCGCGGTTGGCAGAGCCCCGGTCCCTGCGGACCATTTGAACCATATGGGTGTTGAACCCGGTTCTGACCCTCATTATGCTAGGGGGGTTGGAGACTACTCCATACGTCCGTCGTGTATTCTTTGATCGCTCCTGGATGCCGTCCTGGTAGTCATATGGCTCCTTAAACCTCAACTTCTTTTCTTCCAACTTCTGCCCATGGCGTCCTTCTCTCAGCTCGTCAGCTGTCAACAGTTACTGCCACCACCATGACACTGTCGCGAGAAGGTGCTCTCTATCGACGGGGTTGGTGATGTCCCGACGTGGCCATTGGGTAGGCCTTCACCACGTCGGAACACCCCGGATACACGTTGGTTACCTCCCCTAGTTAACTTGTTTGTTGTTGATGTTGTCACGTAAACTAGTACTGGTCAAGAAAACTTGAATTTCATCTACAAACCTGAGCAACTGCTTCAATTTGGCTACACGTTGGTTACCTTCATCAGTACCGCTGGGAACTAACTCGTATGTTGTTGATGTTGTCACGTAAACTTGAACAGCTTAAAAAACTTGAATTTCATCTGCAAACCTAAACAACTACAAGTGCCTCAATTTGATCATGCAGTTTTGTTAGTTACGTGCATACCCTCACAAATTTAAAGAAAAAACGAACTTGAGTTACGTCTTACCTCCGGTGTCAACTCGTATCAAGTGGATCAGATGATGTTCGGACCATAGCAAGACAGAAAAAGTTTAGCATAAGTAACATGTTAGTTGCCTACCATATTGTTGCTCAGACTAGCCCGCCCACTAGCTCTCCTCGACCACCCTGTCACCCCTGATACTCGCTTGACTCCTCTGTCAGATACTTCTTCTTTCATAATTTTCTAATTCCTGTCCTCTCTTTTCTAAATGTGGCTTATCCATTTGCCTTTATATCACTTAACTGGGCCTAGTTCCCGTTTATTGTGCGAATTCAAATAAACCAACCAACCAACCAACAGAGACAGACAGAAAGACAGAGAGGGAGACAGAGAGACAAACAGAGAGGCACAGAGAGAGAGAGACAGAGAGACTGACAGAGAGGGTCAGAAAGACAGAGACAGAGATCGCGTCACTACTCACAACTCGGCCTAGCCTGTACTGTAGTAGATCAACCATGTGTACTACCGTAGAATCCCGCGGATAAGCCCACCCGTACCCGCGGATAAGCTCGAACATCACACAGCTTCATCGTACAAGCCCATGGGCCCGGGCCTAGGTCATACCGGGAGTCCATAAATTTAATATAGACTATTGGCCATACCATGTACATGTACATGTACATGTGTAACGTGCGTGTCGAAGGCCACGCAGGACGAATCCAGAAGTTGACAACAAATAATTTCTATCCCACCGCTGCCACCAATGTAACGTGCGTGATCTAAGGCTAGGAGGCTACTACCCACAGTCAGTCAACCAACGTATCTGAACTTACTCCGGCACGGCCTGGAGGTTATCTTATATCAAAGTGAAAGTGAACTTGCTCTCTCTCAACCACGACTCTCTCCTATCTCTCTGATCTCTCTCCCATGAGATGCAAAACTAGAGAACTTATATAGAATCTAACAAGGCCGTTGGCAAGGGGGCCAGCTAGGAAGCTTCAGCTGGGGTCTATTGCGGGAAACCAGCAGCAGGCAGCAAAACAGCTAAAGAATGTATGTGAAAGTGTAGCAAGCAATCTGGAAATGCCATTGTTTACTCGCAGCGCGCATCAGTGCTACAAAGGAAGCATTGGAGCATGAGACTGATATCACAGTGCAGATAAGTCCATACAACTGCACAAGGACCTCTTGCAAATGAAACATAGCGGCACAAGTATTGTATTTTGGAAACAATGAAGACTACTGATAATTAGTGTTGGTCTAGCTACTCTCCAGTGTGTAGTGGCGCCATGCAAGGATCATGGAAGAACAATCGTAAATGTAGGAAGTACTGTATGCTTCTAAACAATAAGAGTCATGCAAAATACATGTACTACTAGTACTAGTCATGTGTAAACTGTAAAGCAGGGATACTACACCCTCCCTTCCTACACTAAATCACGCCCTCGTGATTTGACAGCGAGTTCGATGATGTATGATGAACAGTACTCACTAGAAGGCACCGTCAGTAGGTGGACTGGACAACTAACTTGCATTCACGTACATGTATTCTTGAATCTTGAACAGAGTGCTTGATATTGGGACGAAAGGGTGACAACTGACACTAGTACTAGTAGTAGTAGTAGTAGTAGTAGCTCTAGCTCAGCAGCAGATCATAGGAGGCGGTGTGAACGTCATAGTAGATAGCGTATTACTTGTAGAGCGTCAACCGGGATATGGCAAAATAATATCGGAAATGATAACGTTTTTAGAGTAGACAGAAGAACTGAACTGATAACAAATCAAAAATAGAAGCACACCAGGTTCTCACCATCTCACGGGGTCAAAAAGGGAATATTGTCCTCCAAATACATGTAGGTCCTTAGAAAAAACCACAGTTGACTTGCTGCACAACCCTGGCACAACCTGCCAGCCAAATCGCAGTACCAAGGCGAACTGAGTACACAAGGGCATTCTCACACACATTGTCCCAGGTTAGCTAGGTAGACCGTGGCTCACCATGATCGGACGCCTACCGGACTAAACTGGATTCGCTCACTCGCATAAAGGAAGACTGAAGAGAACAGAAAGACTGAAGGAAGACAGGAAAGAGAATGCCATATCGGGAATTAGCTTACGTTGGACATGGAGCTTGATCGGTAGAGACGCTGTCCGTCATCATTTCGGGTTAGGGGGAGACGTGGCGGGCGAAGGAGTAGCGGCGACTGACGCATCAGGTTGGGCCATGCTGGTACCGGTTATACCAATAAACAATTTACCGCTGCCATCAATTCTGTAGCGCCGCTGCCATCAATGCAATACAGATACTAGGTGGGTTCGAATCTAGCAATTATAAAATTGAACCACCGCTGCCGCCAATGTAACGTGCGTGTCGAAGGCCACGCAGGACGAATCCAGAAGTTGACAACAAATAATTTCTATCCCACCGCTGCCACCAATGTAACGTGCGTGATCTAAGGCTAGGAGGCTACTACCCACAGTCAGTCAACCAACGTATCTGAACTTACTCCGGCACGGCCTGGAGGTTATCTTATATCAAAGTGAAAGTGAACTTGCTCTCTCTCAACCACGACTCTCTCCTATCTCTCTGATCTCTCTCCCATGAGATGCAAAACTAGAGAACTTATAATTATAGAATCTAACAAGGCCGTTGGCAAGGGGGCCAGCTAGGAAGCTTCAGCTGGGGTCTATTGCGGGAAACCAGCAGCAGGCAGCAAAACAGCTAAAGAATGTATGTGAAAGTGTAGCAAGCAATCTGGAAATGCCATTGTTTACTCGCAGCGCGCATCAGTGCTACAAAGGAAGCATTGGAGCATGAGACTGATATCACAGTGCAGATAAGTCCATACAACTGCACAAGGACCTCTTGCAAATGAAACATAGCGGCACAAGTATTGTATTTTGGAAACAATGAAGACTACTGATAATTAGTGTTGGTCTAGCTACTCTCCAGTGTGTAGTGGCGCCATGCAAGGATCATGGAAGAACAATCGTAAATGTAGGAAGTACTGTATGCTTCTAAACAATAAGAGTCATGCAAAATACATGTACTACTAGTACTAGTCATGTGTAAACTGTAAAGCAGGGATACTACACATGTACGTAGTCATGCACATTATAGTTTTTTTCGTACATAATTTCAGCACAATCATCGGTTGTTTTTGTTTGCACAGACAGTGGTTTTCAGCAATGTACTTCACACTTCCTTGATACTTTTCAATAGCACAATGTTGGTGTCAGCGTATACATGGTACAGTCGTCCCTCTCTAATCCGGCACCTTTTGCTACGGCATTTTCTGCTGGATTAACGAGGGTGCTGGATTAAGAAATCCTGCCCTCTGACCCGGCCCTACCATGTATCATATGTATGTCAAAACGCAGGGTTTTTCCGTGTCGACCCAAGTATTTGGTGCACGGCTTTATATTCTCAATTGTCCTCCGGGAATATACACAGTGATAAAGTAAAACAGAGAACATGTTCACATGTACTCTTGCACACACACGCACACACACACACACACCTGAAAATTGGCAGGACACTACTCCTTGCTAAATAAAAATAAGAAAGTATAGTTGACTGCCGTTGTCTCCTGGCCTGGACAAGCCTAGCCTGGCCTGGCAAGGAGTGCACCTGTACGGTACGCGATTTAGATTTACGACTGCCGGATTATGAAATCAAACTACGTGCAGTTTGAGCGATTCGTTTCAAAAAGTCACTGCCGGAGGCGGAATTCAAGTGCCGGATTAAGATGTAGGAATTGAACGAAAAAAATCGGTTTCGTCAGAAAGTGCGCCGGTTGGCAAGGGTTCCGGATAAACAAGTGCCGGATTAGAGAGGGACGACTGTATAAGCCCATGCCCGCGTATAACTATAAGCCCATGCCCGCGTATAACTATAAGCCCATGTTCACTAGTATAAGCCCACCGAAATGTCCTTGTGAAACAGAATATGAGCCCATGGCCCATGGGCTTATCCGCGGGATTCTACGGTAGTCTACATGGTCTATGACCGCTAGCGCTGCACTCTCCGTCTCTACGTAGCCATGGTAGCTTGCCGTGCCTGTTCCGCGATCCGTGTTCATGGTTCGGTGTTCGACACCTCCCGGACTTCGGCGGTCGCATGCATGACGGGTACTCTACATGGTGTCGACTGCCGCATGTCGAAGCGTAGATCTATTATGACCGTGTGCATGGTGTGTGTCCCGAGGCACTTCTTCTACTCCAGCGAGCCATGCCAGTTCAAAATTCATGCTGCCCAGCCATTTCGCTTGACGTCTCCTATCTATTTTGTGAACAGGCTAAATTAATGGGGTCGTGCGTTCCAGTTTTTACCCCTCATTTCTCTCTAGTTATAGAGTAGAGCCACTAGAGGCCTACCAGATGCCCTAGTCAGGTCGTTATTCCCGACAGCCTTCGGCTTTGACCAAGGATCTAGGAGTGATCATGAATGGCTATTTATGAGCGTCGCTTCATATTATTTTATCGTCCACTTGCTTCAGGGGCAGACCACACATCGCTGACGACGACGGTTCAAGTAAATAATTAGTCGACTCGGGCTCTCCAGGGCCGGCCGGACAGGTCAACTGCAGCGCTCCATACCGATAGCGTGATTCCAAGTAATTCTGATAAGAAGGAGGTGGGATTGGCTGCCGTAGATCTACGGCACGTAACCGGCCTGAGTGATGGCGGAGGCCAGACCCCCATCGTCCAGCTCCAGACCCGGCTCCAGCGCACGCCAAAAGCACGCGAGAGAGGCCTCTGCTGGCAGGACAGCGGCTGAGAAGGAGATGCATCTAAACGCAGCCAGACACCTTCCCGGCTCACGACCCGCTCGAGGGTTTGCGTGAGTAGATTTGCATTGAATTATTTGTACTTCTTTTCATGACGATGGGTCCGATCCGTAGATCTGCGTGGTTGCCCTGTTGCTTGCATGGGCTACATTGCAGTAAAACTCTCCAAATCTGGGCAGGTCGGGATCGAGTACTACCGACCGCACTGCCGGCCCATGGTTCTAGCCAGGTCAAAATAGTGGGGGAGGGAGGGAGGGGGGGGGGCCCCGTAGGGAACAGTTACCCCATAACCCATCTTTGTATACACTCATACCTCGTTTATCCGGGCAGTCCGGGACCTTGCACTGCCCGTAACTTTGAAATGTCCGTAACTCCGAATCATATACATCTTGATGGGGAAAAGGCCATCGATATGGCATATGACGTCAATATTTTTACGAAAAGTGACAAAAGAGTAGTAATATTTCCCCTGAAACTCGCCCAAATAGTGCCCGGTAGACCGAAGTGCCCGTAACTTCGGGGTCCGGATAAACGAGGTATGAGTGTACTCCAAAATAATTAATTGCCTTGCCATGCAAAATTCAACGCAGGGCTCTCCCCCCCCCCCCCCCCCCCCCCCCGACTTCACTCCAGGCAAATGTTCCTTTATGAACCCTCTAGTAGTGATTATCGACTGCATTTTCGTTGAATGGCATGAAAAACACAAAAATCAACAAATAAGTAGGGGGCGGGGCACCTTCTTACAGGGGAGGGGGGAGTGCTCAATCAGAGGAGAAGGGTGCTGTGCCCCCCCCCCCCCCCCTGCTACCATCCTTTGGCTAGAACCTTGTAGACCGTACCGTAAAGTACTCAGAGCATGCATGCAAGTAAATATTTTCTATTCAAATCATAAGTTTTTGGCGCCGTTTTCGGTGAAAAGCCAATTTCCGTGCCTCTACAATGTAGATGGGTTAGAAAGATGCCCACTAGACGGACGCGCCGGGATTAGGGACGCGCCGGGATTAGGGACGCGCCGGGATTAGGGACGCGCCGGGATTAGGGACGCGCCGGGATTAGGGACATCCGGATTAGGGGCGTTTCACTGCACTTCTTTTCTTGACGACGGTAGATGCACAAGGTTTCCTCGTTACTTATATGGACTACATTACATGTAGTAGTCCCCAGCAGCAGGGTGTCAACAGGAGCCTCACCTACCGGTAGTCCCCAGCAGGGTGTCAACAGGAGCCTCACCTACCGGTAGTCCCCAGCAGGGTGTCAACAGGAGCCTCACCTACCGGTAGTCCTGGATAGGCTGCAGGTATCGCTTCAACAGTGCTCCTGGCTGGAACAAAATCCAATCTACGAACCAGAAGTCACCTTCACGTTGTAGTACGGTTTTACAATATCGGCATGTAGCGGCTTGCAACGGCACTGTGTACTCACCAGTAATCCATGGTGATAGTCCGTCTGAGGATGTTAGTGTGGGTTTGATTGGTCAACTTGATTTGCATCATATTCAATGGAGCAGTCAGGATAGTGATGAGCTGAGTTCATGGAACAGAACAATGAATATATTTTCCAGAAATACTTGCGCGGCTAGGACCGCCGGAAGGAGTTTTTTGATTGGTCCGGTAATTTCATTGCCTTTCGTGCTATGTGTATGATCTAGCGGGTGCACATGCCCTCTGCAGTAGGAAACACATGTCAGCGGCCAAAATGTTGGTCCAGTGATAACCTGACCAACCGGACCGGTTCCAGTGGGCCTGGTAGTTCAGTGATCTATTAATTTTTCTTCGACTTTCAATGGGTTTTGCATCTTACCTTGCATGGCTACTCCAGCAGGGGGGGGATTGTTCGGAACAATACCTGGTCTCAGCCTCATCCCTAGAACCAGTGCATACCAATCACACACTCAGCCCTGCTCTAAACGATCCTATTCCAGGTCGGACCAATCAAATGCACCCGTAGTAGCCCTGTGGCTCCCACGACCCTCAGGGCCAGGTGTTTTCGTACGATACGTTTGTTTTCACCAACCAGAACCTGTATTTCTCCTTTGGACAGCATCTAGCACACAAGGCTATAGCATGTGTTGGACACTGTCATGTAAAGGCACACTACATTGTATAACAATTACTGGAATTGTACACACACACACCCTGTGGCAACACCTTATACATTATTATCACGAAATGTGAAGTGCTAGATAAAGGGGACGGAATTAAGTGCCAACGGATACGTCGCTTTGCTGGTGGTGTGCTGTGGCAAAGCCGTGTCGAGGTCGGCTGGAGAGACTCGGCAGTGACGGTGTGGTGTGGCAAAGTCGTGTCGAGGTCGGCTGGAGAGACTCGGCAGTGACGGTGTGGTGTAGCAAAGTCGTGTCGAGGTCAGCTGGAGAGACACGGCAGTGACGGTGTGGTGTGGCAAAGTCGTGTCGAGGTCAGCTGGAGAGACACGGCAGTGACGGTGTGGTGTGGCAAAGTCGTGTCGAGGTCAGCTGGAGAGACACGGCAGTGACGGTGTGGTGTAGCAAAGTCGTGTCGAGGTCGGCTGGAGAGACTCGGCAGTGACGGTGTGGTGTGGCAAAGTCGTGTCGAGGTCAGCTGGAGAGACTCGGCAGTGACGGTGTGGTGTAGCAAAGTCGTGTCGAGGTCGGCTGGAGAGACACGGCAGTGACGGTGTGGTGTGGCAAAGTCGTGTTGAGGTCAGCTGGAGAGACTCGGCAGTGACGGTGTGGTGTGGCAAAGTCGTGTTGAGGTCAGCTGGAGAGACTCGGCAGTGACGGTGTGGTGTGGCAAAGTCGTGTTGAGGTCAGCTGGAGAGACTCGGCAGTGACGGTGTGGTGTAGCAAAGTCGTGTCGAGGTCGGCTGGAGAGACACGGCAGTGACGGTGTGGTGTGGCAAAGTCGTGTTGAGGTCAGCTGGAGAGACTCGGCAGTGACGGTGTGGTGTGGCAAAGTCGTGTTGAGGTCAGCTGGAGAGACTCGGCAGTGACGGTGTGGTGTGGCAAAGTCGTGTTGAGGTCAGCTGGAGAGACTCGGCAGTGACGGTGTGGTGTGGCAAAGTCGTGTTGAGGTCAGCTGGAGAGACTCGGCAGTGACGGTGTGGTGTAGCAAAGTCGTGTCGAGGTCAGCTGGAGAGACACGGCAGTGACGGTGTGGTGGTTGATGAAAACATGTACGGTAGTGTCAGTACTGTTCAATGAAATCCTTTCAAGCGAGTTAATGCCAAGGCCGGCCGGGCGCTGTGCAGCCCTAGACCTGCACCGAGACTGGGATGTGAACTGGTGCAGGGCACTATGCAGCCCTAGACCTGCGAATACTGGGACGTGAACTGGTGCAGAGTGCAAACTTGACTCGCACGGTCGGATTTCACTGAGCAGCGCTGTTGAACAGAGCTGATGCACATCCATCACATCACCACATTGGACGGCCATGTATATTGTTGGTTACAACTCCACTCAACCCCTGCATTCTATGGGTCACATGATGTCGGTCGTGTATGTTTGTCTGGGCGTGTGTGTGTGTGTGGGGGGGGGGGGGGGCGTGTATGTGCGTGTGTGTGCCGGTGTATGTGTGTGTGTGTGCCGGTGTGTGTGTGTGTGCGTGCGCATGTGTGTATGTGTGTGTGTTCACGTGTGTGTATTTGTACAGCTTACTAGTGGAGTGGATGCGACGTCATCGTACGTGTCTGTTACTGGAACATTTCTGCTTGGGTACGTACTGCATGTGTTGGCAGAGTCCGTTCTGCAGGCTATGTATCCATGGCCACAGACTTGTATTGCATCCACATGCTGGCATGACGGTCGTATGTCCAAAACAGGTGATGATGTCAATGGTTTATTCTGCACATTGCCTATTCTGCTGTTTAAATTTAAAGCCAGCGTTCATTAGTTCGTTCCTTTGATTTTATCATGAACAGGACCAGAGGAAGCTTTAAACTTGCTCAAGGAAGCGTCACTTGAAGCATACCCCGAAGGAAAGGTGTTATACCAACAAGACGACGCTGGTCCCTCGGCGTAAGTATTGGTTGTGTTTCGCATTTCCCCATATCCTCCTCGTCTCACCTTGTCTCTCTGTGCTGTAGTCAGATTACAACTTACCCTACTTGGGTTCATGGTAGGGTGTGCGTTGGGGGGGGGGAGGGGGGGGCGACATTCCTCCAGTATTCCACACTCTGCCGTTATGATTGGAAATACCGATATCCTGGGTATGACAGAAGCTCATTGCGCATGCCGTAACCTGAGCCAGTTTCCATGATTTTCCATGATTTATAGTCTCGCACCCCAATAAACTGCCGACTTGACCAACCAATCACAGTCCTCAATTTTAGTTTACAGTGCTGGTACGTATTGTATGGCACCGCTGTACTGCTGGTTGGACGTAATGCCCACCAGGGGGGGGGGGGGGGGGGGAGGGGGGGGGTGTCACATATGGCACGACCAGTATGACAATGGTGGTACCACTTATCGTCCAGGATGATCCTTCCAATTCATCCAAAAACAAAACAATAAAAGAGCGTTAAAACGTGCCCTGTTGGCCGAAAAATCCGATTTTTCCCGCGGTGGGCACCCCTGGACACCGGCCGTACCACTCCCCACTGCCCTGTGACACCGCCTACCCACTCCCCACTGCCCTGTGACACCGCCGTACCACTCTCCACTGCCCTGTGACACCGCCATACCACTTCCCACTGCCCTGTGACACTGCCGTACCACTCCCCACTGCCCTGTGACACCGCCGTACCACTGCCCACTGCCCTGTGATATCGCCGCACCACTCCCCACTGCCCTGTGACACCGCCTGCCCACAGTACAGGTTTGGGGCAACCTGACCACCGCACACAAATGCACACCTGCTACAGTCAGACCTCGCTTAACCGCACACATCTTTTTTCCACAAAAACATCCGGATAGGCGAGGTAACCGGATAACTGAACACACATACTGTATATGCATGTGGCATGTCAAAAGTAGTGACATCATACATACATGTAGACAGGTCCTATGCAGTACGCCTAGCGTGCCCAGTATGTAAAACAAGCGAGAAAAATGACAAGTGCATGCAACTGAGTGCTGTCCGCACACACCCAGCAGGTCAAGGACCTCATTTGCTTGTACAACTCGTTGATACTAGCTTCTGCAGGCGCTAGCCAGCCACATGCAACCGGATACGACGAAGCATTTTGTACACATTTTAACCAGTTTGTACACAAAATCATGCACCGGTATGCGGATCGCGAGGTCCGGTTATGTTGTATGCACAACATATGCTGCACATCGGTAACCAGCGATTTTCTTCCGGATGGCGAGGGATCCGGATAAACAAGGACCGGATAAACGAGGTCTGACTGTACTCTCAAAGCCTAGCTTATGGAGTCATTGCCTGCCGCCGGACCAAAACAGCCATGTCAGTTTGTATAATTGTATAAAGTGATTAGGGGCATGCCAAGAGCTTACCAATGACTACCGAAAGCGCCAGTGATTCTCTTTACTGATGTTTGTCTTGACACTCTGATTGCTGACATTTTTCATCACAAAATCGCGCTGGCTTGTGAATTACTAAAGCCGATCCCGCCGCTAAAACTACCAGTTTGACAGGACTGCAGTCGGTCTCAGTGTCTTGTCTAGCTATCACTCTGGCCTAGGATGTATAGAAAACCGCTGGCAGTACTCGTATTCACGGTCCTTCCGGGTACGTTTGTACACTGATGACTGGTGTGAATATCACGTGAAAACATCATCGGGCATGTGTGGACTGAGAAAACCGCCTCACTGCAGACAGGTTACCTGTGATTATGGTGTTTGTTCGCCAGGTCATGTGACATGGTTCCTGCATCTCTACTTCTACTAGCCTCCATGCACATTAGCACTAAGGCTAGGGTATATCCGACCCAAAGTGGAAAGCCGGCACCCTGGACCAGTTGCCATTGCATACTTTCTACAAGTACATCATCGTATCTTGCACATGTGTATGTCCAGCACCGTCCATACCACTTCCGGGGCGTCAGGGCCCGTGCAAGTGGAGGGCGCCACACACTCGACACAATGTTCTTTTATTACAATCAGGAAATTGTGAGGACAACAATGGACAAAGAACTGAACGGATTCCAATGTAATCAGGATGTAATCAGGGCTAGCATACAGTGCTATACATGTACTTCAGGTCAGATGTCACCTCGGCAAAACTGGTGCATCCATGTTATAATGTTGTTCATTGTGTCTTGCAGTGCTTACATCGTGCTGGATGGGACAGTGTCATTACACTCCCGTGATGTACACAGTCAAGCAGAGGCCGATGACTACTGTAAGTACATGACTGTAGACTAGGACAATAGCATCATGTTGTTGTGTACCCCTGCTGCTGTTGTGCGGTCTGGTTGTCTGCTGGCTGTTTTAGTTGTGTTGCTCTGGAGGTGCATTAACCCTACGTGCATATGTGTGTGTGCGTGTGTGTGCGTGTGTGTGTGTGTGTGTGTGTGTGTGTGTGTGTGTGTATATGTGCATATCTTCATGTCAGTGGGCATGGCCCATCATGACCTCTCCGTGTCATCACGCATTCCAAGCAGCGGCAGCAGCAGCAGTTCAACTCTAACATCCACTTCACATCATGCCAAGAAACGGCCTGCTACCGACGAGCTATCAGTCAATGTCATGAACAGGTATACTGATTTCACTGTCTCAGGAAAACTGGATACTGAGTGGATAGGGATATCAAAAAAACACTGAAGCACTTTCCAGGCAGTTACATAGCCATTGAAGTTACCTCTTCCAGGTATTTGTTAATTAGTCTTCTACAAGTAAAAAAATCACGATGCGTGCGAGACTCGGCTGGAAGCCGAGTTTTCTACATGCATAGGAATGCCGCCACCCTCTATGGATCAAGGTGCAGATGCAGCTCCTAAAGCGGTGGGAGGTGAGTAGATCAGCTCACCACAAAGTGGTCAAAGACCGAAATCTCATTCGCTGCAGCCATGGTTCCCTCATGCCAGGCCACGAATTCTCAATAAACTGTGGGTTGCAGCACGGCTGGAAAATCCTTCCGCTTCCAAGCAGGACTTGAACCTGGTACCCTCTGTTTTCTTAATCGTGGCCTTAGACCACCCCACTAGACAAGTACGTCGAAGTAGACCAGCCGCATATCCGAACAATTATAAATAAGGACTAGGCATTCCGAGACATCCGGTCGGATGAGCCAACCACATCAGCACATCGCCCCTACTCCCCTTTGTCTTGTTGTCCAGTGTCATTTCAGTTGTCCTCTTCCCCTGCTTATTACTTCGTAGTAGGGCTGTGTTTGCTAGTAAAAAAATGTGTACCTCAATGTCGTACTGCGAAGCACTCTATTGCCTGATAACCCACGAATCCCCAGGGACCACAATGCCAACTTTTAGGTCTTCCGCTTCCTTGCTCCGTGGCCGTGGTAACTAAAAGTTAGTCAATCTGCGGACAGAACTGTTTCGTCCTTCGTGGACTCATCAGCGCAGCACAGATAAAATGAGGCCGAATCTGATAGCAATGAAAAATAAAATTTCCAATGCCAGATTCAAACCAGATTTAAACCAGGTACAACTAGAAGTTAAAGTGGCGTTTCGTTTCATACTATCTGTGTGTGTGTGTGTGTGTGTGTGTGTGCACGTGCATGTGTGTATGTGTGTGTGTGTGTGTGGGGGGGGGGGGGGTGTGTGTGTATGTGCGTGTATGTGTGTGCGCGCACGCGTGCATATGTGTGTATGTGTGTGTGTGTGTGTGTGTGTGTGTGTGTGTGTGTGTGTGTGTGTGTGTGTGTGTGTGTGTGTATGTATGTGTGTGTGTGTGTGTGGAAATTCAGTCTGATGGGTGGTGCTTCTCCTGATGTTTCTCGTCGACACCTACCGCCCATTGTCCTCGCTGGAGATTCAGACTGTGCCGCTAAGGAGGAGAGGAGAAGGAAGCGCAAAGTTGATGGCCATCAAATTACCGTCACTGACCTTGAGCAGCAGGATGGCGACTCGGTTTTTGAGGATGCAGCAAATGAAGAGGTATGCTTTGAGATATGACACAAGGAGAGGCCGCTTTGAATCAAGAAATTTGTCAAAGACGCAAAGACATCACAGAAAATTACAAAAATTGGAAAATCCTTTTTTCTACTACTAGTATTTTGTTCAAATGTCGTGTGTAGTCATGCCATATTGTTAGATGTTCTTTTTGTAAGTTGTTGTGTAGCGACACTGGTCGGGTGTGTGCAATGGGGCAAGAGACATCACAAGTCCGTTCCTATGTGTCACATCACTATCCTATGTGCTGTGCATCCAGGTAGGGCATGGGTTTCAGCTAGACCTGATGGTGGAAGGGAATTCGTTTGGCGAGATGGCTCTGCTGCGTCCTGACAGACCGCGCTCGTTCACGGCCGTAGCACAGTCTGATGTGAGTGTGTGCCAGGTTGGTGTGTGTGCTAGGCGGGTGTGTGTGCTAGGCTGGTGTGTGTGCTAGGCGGGTGTGTGTGCTAGGCGGGTGTGTGTGCTAGGCGGGTGTGTGTGCTAGGCGGGTGTGTGTGCTAGGCGGGTGTGTGTGCTAGGCGGGTGTGTGTGCTAGGCGGGTGTGTGTGCTAGGCGGGTGTGTGTGCTAGGCTGGTGTGTGTGCTAGGCGGGTGTGTGTGTGCTAGGCTGGTGTGTGTGCTAGGCGGGTGTGTGTGCTAGGCGGGTGTGTGTGCTAGGCGGGTGTGTGTGCTAGGCGGGTGTGTGTGCTAGGCGGGTGTGTGTGCTAGGCGGGTGTGTGTGCTAGGCGGGTGTGTGTGCTAGGCGGGTGTGTGTGCTAGGCTGGTGTGTGTGCTAGGCGGGTGTCAGTACATGTGTAGTGACACTTCTTTGTTCGTTTATCACACTAGTATAGTACACACACACACACACACACACACACACACACACACACACACACACACACACACACACACACACACACACCTTGACCTTGACCTTGATCTTGCCCATTGCGTACGCAATGATAGCGAATGTCGGAAAGTTCAAGTGAGAACACGAGCGCAGAACTTGGCATGTCGTTTCAGGTCTCTTGGTCGACGAAACGGGCGTCCACAGACACATAGAAGAGGATCAGGAGCGGGCCGTGGCGGTGGGGTGCTACTCGCAACTCGTCTCCAGCCGGGACGATCTTGGCAACTCTCAAGCCAGGTGGTCACGCCGAGGTCCGCCAGGTCAGTCGACACCACATCTCGCCACCTCTTCTTCGGGCCGTGACGAGGACGGGGGGCAGGCAGCTCGCCGAACAGCAATTGCTTCGGTGCGCGCAAGTCGCCCATCCTGCCGACGTGACCCAGCCAACGAAGCCGGTGTCGACGGATGATGCTGGTGATGTCAGGGTCGACACCGAATGTAGCCGCTAATGTGGCCGTTGAGATCCGATCATCCTACTGTTGACGACGGCTGATACCCACGATGGACCGAACACACTGATGGTGAAAGGTGTTTAGCTTCTGGAGGTGGCCTGCCTTGGTGGTCCACGTCTCCGCACCATACAAGAGGGTCGTGAGGACGACAGCCTCATAGACACGCCTCTTGCTGCGAAGCGACAGGGTCTTGTTATCAAAGACAGGAGCTTTGAGGGCTCCGAACACAGCTAAGGCTTTCGCAAGGCGAGAGCGGACATCAGCACAGGCAAGACCATCCGAGGAGAGCACACTGCCAAGGTAGGTGAATTGGTCCACCGCCTCAATCGTGTCTGCTCCAACAACAACGTCACGGCGATCAGCAGACTCACCCACAGCCATACCCTTGGTCTTTCTCACACTGACGTTAGGCCCCAGCTGCTTGCACATGTGATGAAGCTGGAAGTCATCGCTTCGAAGGCAGGCCGAGATGTTGCGTAGAGTGCAGCGTCGTCAGCAAACTGGGATTCTGTGACCGTTGATGACAGGAGCTTGCCCTTCGCCGTTCGGTCACCAACTAGCTTCCTCCCGACTTTATATCGAAAGGATATGCCAGCGTCCGGACAACTGGACCGCCAACTGGCAACGACGGCAGAGAAGTACAAGTTGAAGAGCATCCTGACCATCATGCGTAAATCCTGGTTCGAAGGCACTGTAGTCGATGATTGGCGTGATGCAGTGGTTGTGCCCATCCCGAAGAAGGGAGATCTACACCACTGTGATAACTGGCGCGGCATCAGTCTGTTGGACGTTGTCGGCAAGCTGCTTGCCCGTATTCTGCAGGACCGCCTCAAAGCTATCGCTGAAGATGTCTTGCCAGATTCTCAGTGCGGCTTCAGAAAGGGACGTGGCTGCGTCGATATGGTGTACGTCGCACGGCAGTTGATGGAGAAGACGTTGGAGCATGATTCAGATGCATATGTCCTGTTCGTCGATCTGAGAAAGGCGTATGACAGTATCCCGCGCGCAGCCCTGTGGTAGGTTCTCCAGAAGCTTGGTGTTCCGCCGGCAATGCTCCGCATCATTCAGTCACTCCACAACGGCATAACTGCTTCTGTTCGGGTGGATGGCAAGCTGACTGACCCAATAACTGTGCGGAATGGATTGCGTCAGGGCTGCACGCTCGCACCAATGCTCACACACACACACACACACACACACACACACACACACACACACACACACACACACACACACACACACACACCTCAGACCTGCTCATCGCGGAAGCGATGATAGCAAACAGCTATGTTAGACATAGCAACACACACACACACACACACACACACACACACACACAAACATACACACACACACACACACACTCGCACAAACACGCACACATTTGTATAATGCACACACACACACACACACACACACACACACACACACACACACACACACACACACACACACACACACACACACACACACACACACACACATACACATACAGACACACACACACATGTACACGTACACGGTACAATACAATAATACCCATCCACAGATGATGACAGGTCCTGAAAAGACCGACAGTGTTTCAGTCACGGGGAACAGAACTGCGAGAGGCGAGTGAGGTCCTGGCGGCGGTGAAAATCTCGGCCGCAGTGGCACCTGAAAACCTAAGACACAGGTTTACACACATGTACACACACACACACACACACACACACACACACACACACACACACACACACACACACACATACACACACCTTGACCTTGACATTGATACACGTTGCCTGGATAGGTTACACGGTCCCCGTCAGGGGAGAGGGGTGGAAGAGGCTGAGGAGCAGCACTTCTGATGACGCACTAGATGGTGACGTAGTCGGAACTTCCTTTGGCAAGGGCACTCAAACGGGAAGTCGGCCCTTTCCGACACTGTCCTTCGTTTCGTGCGGTCGCACTTGTGTCTGGCCAAGCCGCTGCTGGACTTGAAACTCCGGTGGCAGGTGCTGCACTGCAGAGTGACCGGGGTGCTCGATGTTGGGAGCAGGTCCGTGATCGCACCGATGGGTAGCCAATCCACCGGGGCTGCGGAACCAACGTTGGCAGAGACGACATTGGCCAGCGCCAGCCTGATTGCACACTGGTTTCTGTCGTTCTGCCAAGCATTTGTGACGCTTCTCATCTGATGGGCAAGAGAAGTACCGATCACATACTTGGCAATGGACATGTCGATACACACACACACGCACACACACACACACACACACACACACACACACACACACACACACACACACACACGCACACACACACACACACACACACACACACACACACACACACACACACGCACACACACACACACACACACACACACACACACACAAAAACGTAAACAAGCTACAATACTACTACTAAGTACTCAAGGTGCTAGAGGTATTATCAATGATTATAGCTGCCCCGTGGAGAGTACGTATCCGTTATGGCAACACTATCTCTATGGCAACACTACCTCTATGGCAACACTGTATGTATGTCAACACTGTCTCTATGGCAACACTGTATCTAGGTCAACACTGTATGTATGTCATCGCTGTCTGTATGTCAACACTGTCTCTATGTGAACAGGTTGAGCTGCTGGTGATCGACCTGGAGCACATGAAGAGCTTCACAAGTCAAGTATCTCGAAAGGTATCCTAGTCGTTTGAATGTGTGACAGTACCCACCCATCCAGTGCTGCAGGCCAGGTGCCTATGCCTGCACATACCTCCATTTTAGTGGTTGTACCCATGCAGGTCCGCCACAACCAATCCGACTGGTCTGGCCATGGCTGGACCAACGTTTTGACCAGCAACGTGTGTTACTGACTGCTGGTTAGGTACTGTGTAGCCATCATTATAATTATCATACACAAACTGTATGAAAGTCATGTGACTACCCTCCTTATCATACACAAACTGTATGAAAGGCTAAGGTCTGGCCAGATCAATCAAAAAGTGCTTCTGCTCGTCCGGCCATGCACTGTTCCAGTCGACTGATACCGGTACAGACGTGCATGAAGTAATGACCTGTGGAAAGGCCGCATGACGTGCAGGACGAGCAAGTCCACGCACAATCTGAACGGAAATACAATACTGCATGTGTTGGTGTAGCGGCTCTATTGTACATGCCACTGCCGCAGTAGAGATTACTACTGCAATGGCAGAAGTCAGTCATGTGCCCTAAGAGCATGTCCCCTGTGCCGTACTTCATGGTCTATTTATTCTTTCTTTGCCCATGCAGGCCCTGGATGAGAAGCTTCAGATACTGGAATCAAACGCAGTGTTTCAGGTGAGCATTTCACGGTAAAACATTGGTAATGATTGTATCGGCAGCATGAGACAGCACCATGGCATGTGGGTAAGCCACTGAAACAACGACTACACTAGCGGTGGACATCCTTGAATGCAAGTACAGTCAGACCTCGCTTGACCGCATACATCCATTTTCCACAAAAACATCCGGGTGGGCGAGGGAACCGGATATTCGAACACACATACTGTATGTATGCATAACATATGCTGTAAATTGGTAGCCAACAATTTTCTTCCGGATGGCGAGGGATGCGGATAAAAGAGGAGCGGATAAGCGGCAAGGTCTGACTGTACATGTAGTAGTAATTAGGACGGCATGCGATAGATTGAGATCTGCATGATCGACACAGCCACGGTGTGGAGGAGCTTGCGCCAATACATGTACAGTCGTCCCTCTCTAATCCGGCACTTGTTTATCCGGAACCCTTGCCAACCGGCAAAAACCGATTTTTTTCGTTCAATTCCTACATCTTAATCCGGCACTTGAATTCCGCCTCCGGCAGTGACTTTTTGAAACGAATCGCTCAAACTGCACGTAGTTTGATTTCCTAATCCGGCAGTCGTAAAAGTGCACTGCTTGCCAGGCCATGCGCCAGGCTAGGCCAGTCTGGTCAGTGCCATGCCGGGCGCGCGGGGCCACTTCAGACTCAGAGTTCAGTTCAGTTGACAACTGTACTCGACCTAGCGCGGGAGAGTTCTGTTCGGTTGGTTGTTAGGACTTTTCTGAACCCTAACTCAATTTATACAAAGAGAAAGACCAAGGAACTACAAGTTACGCTATACTGTCCACTAACACCACCAGTTACGAAACAATCAGCTCATGCGATAACATTGCACGACACTGACCGACGGTACTGACGTTCTACAACTAACTATCGTTCGTTCGACCTGCATGATGTCGACTGCTTGCGTGGCCTTCTCAAGAAGGTCAATGTTGTCCAGGAGACAACGGCTAAGCAGTCAACCATACTTTCTTATTTTAGCAAGGAGTAGTGTGCTGCCAATTTTCAGGTGTGTGTGTGCGTGTGTGTGCAAGAGTACATGTGAACATGTTCTCTGTTTTACTTTATTACTTTCTCACTGTGTATATTCCTGGAGAACAGTTGAGAATATAAAGCCGTGCACCAAATACTTGGGTTGACACGGAAAAACCCTGCGTTTTGACGTATGATACATGCATGCAATTGGGTAGGGCCGGGTCAGAGGGCAGGATTTCTTAATCCAGCACCCTCGTTAATCCAGCAGAAAACGCCGTAGCAAAAGGTGCCGGATTAGAGAGGGACGACTGTACATATGTATCCGCAATACTGCGTGTTGCCCGTGAGTTGTGCGTCTAGTAAGTTATGGTGAACAAGGTCGGCTGGAGAGCACATTGCGTTTGTATGTGTTCGTTTGTGTGTGTGTATGTGTTTGTTTGTGTGTGTGTGTGTATGTGTTTGTTTGTGTGTGTGTGTGTGTGTGTGTATGTTTGTTTGTGTGTGTGTGTGTGTGTGTGTGTGTGTGTGTGTGTGTGTGTGTGTGTGTGTGCGTGTGCGTGTGCGTGTGCGTGTGTGTGTGTGCTAGATTAACTCTTGTGTAATCAATGGTGCTAGTGACGCTTAGATCAGATCCACTCTGATTTAGCCACCCACACTAGTAGCAAGTATTACCTTCACTGGGGGCAGGGGTAACTGCAGTTGGGTCCCAGGACGGATACCCGGATGCCGTCAATCCTTTTTCTGCACCTTGTCCTCACCCACTTACTGAGGTGTGGTGAGCCCATAAGCGGGATCATTTTCAAGTCCACCCAGAGTTTTTGGGGATTTCAGGGGTTGTCGGCCGTTGGGCGGTTCTTTTTTTTTGAATAGCCAGTTGAGTCATCTTTCCAAGATTCCTTTTGAGTCTCTCTCCCCTCTCCCGGGGAGACCCAAGTGACCAGTTTTGGCAGTGTGCAACAAGTACAAGTGTGTGGGTGTGTGGGTGTGTGTGTGTGCGCGTGTGTGCGCGTGTGTGCGCGTGTGTGTGCGTGTGTGTGTGTGTGTGTGTGTGTGTGTGTGTGTGTGTGTGCGTGTGCGTGGGGATTCACTGGCCAGAAAAAAACCACTTCATACCTGTGTGGTGTAGACCAGGCTGAATAGTGACAGTCAATTCTCTTCAGGCTTGCAAGCTGTTGAATGGTGCAGTCCCAGCAAAAGCTGTTATGGCTTCTGCTGTAGCATCGCTATCATCGCCTCCGGCGATGGGCGTCAAATGGTCAATGGTCAATGGTGTGTGTGTGGGGGGGGGGGACTGAATTACCATGCGCTAGTGCTCAGAATTATGCATGAACACCAATCTAGCCGTGACAGGGGGACAATGTCACACTGAGATACTTGAATGACATTGGTCACATCCGGTCCGGTGTAAGGACAAACGATAACCCTAGCTAAGAAGGATGCCGGTTGAGCACTTGGTTAGCCTGACTGGATGCCGAATGAGAAGTGTCTGTCTTCCTGCTCTTCTTTTCCTGACTGGCCTGGTTGCCTAGCAATGGAAGTGGATGGGGCAAGTCAGACTCGCGTCCTACATGAAGGAGGTCAGTGTTCCCATGGAAACGACTGTGTTCCGACAACACGAGCCAGTCGCCACTGTCTACTTCATCAAATCTGGCCAGGTACGTTCCAGTGGCAATGAACAAGAATTCCCGTGGCTATGCAGAAGATGGTGCAACGAACAGTGGAGTACTGAAAAACCGGGAATTTTCGGTGCTGTAATATTTTCGGTATTTCCCAAAATAAAGCTGTGTGGACCCTGGCTAGCGCCAGACGTTACTGAAGCAACGTCTTTTGCATAGCTACAGGAATAAACCAGGTTTCTGTATTGCAGGCGGCATGCATGTACGTACATTTTCGGTGCGTTTTATTTTAGGGCAAAATTGCCTGTACCTGGATTTCCCGGAAATAGAACTCCATCGGAATTTTCCGGTTTACGGTATGGCGCTACTCCTAGCCAGGGTTGTGCACACTTTATCCTGCATGTACATGTACCAGTATGTGTATGTGTGTAGTCCGTCATCACAAGACCGGCTGGCTGTCGTCACACAGGACTATTCACCTGACGGATGACGTGAGCGGGCTCAGTGAAATGATCATGACCAGGGAGTCGTATATACCAGGGAGTCGTAAAATACCGGTATTTTACGACTCCCTGGTATATACCATATACGACTCCCTGATCATGATGATGATGAAGAAGTGTAGCAAAGAGTCCTGAGTTGACTCTCAACGGCATGATTACTGATCTGCATACTGGGCAGGTCAAGAAACAACGTTCCGCTTCCGGGGAATGTCATCAGTCCATGATCAGGTGCCGGATGCAGCTCCTAAACGATAGGCGAGAATAGATCAGATCCACTGACCAGAGGCCAAAGGCCGAAATCCCACCTGTCACATGCACGTTACCCTTGTACCGGCATGCAGGTCACTTTAAGCTTCCCTTTCACTGTGGGTAGCAGCATACTAGGACAGATCCACCCGCTTCCAACCTGGTACCTCTCGTTTCTCAGGCATGGTCTTAGACCAAGCCAATGTGCACCATGTCAATGATACGACATGGTGTAAAAGTGCTGGTGAAATATTACAGAAGGATTCACCCAGTGTGTGAGTGTGGGGGGGGGGGGTGTCACTGGTGAAGGCAGAGCTTAGCACACATGCAGTACAACAGCATTGCCTGGTGACAGGTGTGATGGCACAGCTGCCTGTGTAATATGGGGCAGTGTGCCATAGCAGACCGGCCTACATACAGAGCTGCACCGGCGCAATGATGCACTCCCAGCAGTTATAGACCCTAATTCATAATACGGTGTGTGGTTGTATGTGTGCTTGATAATATGTATGCCTGTGCTTGGGTCTGTAAGGTGAGACTGTTTGGGGAGGAGAAAGCTGAAATCGCGTCCAAGCCATTCCTATCGCGTCAAGGCTCCCTGGACCCTGGCTCGGGAAGAAGTCCGTACGGTTCCACGGACGGCTTGGACACCATCGGTGCAGCTGCTGCTGGCGGTCAAAAATCCAGAACACAATTTCAGTAAGCTGTACACCACGCTGTACACTGGCATTCTACCTGTTGGCACCCAGCAGTCAGCTGAGTTACTGACTTAACTTAATACACACGCACAGATATTTGGTATCTGCCGCCGATACATGTAGTTAAGAATGTGCCGCTGTAGTGTGGCATGGTGTGTAATATTCGCGTGGGCTAAAAAATGCAGTGTTGCAGTGTTGCAGTGTTGCAGTGTTACAGTGTTGCAGTGTTGCAGTGATGCAGTGATGCAGTGTTGCAGTGTTGCAGTGTTGCAGTGTTGCAGTGTTGCAGTGTTGGTGATCCATGCCAGGACTTTAGGGTTACTAGTAGTCGCTTGCTATTCTTGCTCATTTTGGATTATTTGGTCGCATGCACATGCTCACGGGCATTTATGTGCACAATTGATGGGTGGAAGCTGGCATTCGGTTTGCAAGAGGTAATGTATCCTTGGCTAGCATGCTGCTCAGTACAACCGCAGTCTCAGATCAGAGCATCAAAAATATGAGTGAACCGAGAGAGAGAGAGAGAGAGAGAGAGAGAGAGAGAGAGAGAGAGAGAGAGAGAGAGAGAGAGAGAGAGAGAGAGAGAGAGAGAGAGAGAGAGAGAGGGAGGGAGGGAGGGAGGGAGGGAGGGAGGGAGGGAGGGAGGGAGGGAGGGAGGGAGGGAGGGAGGGAGGGAGGGAGGGAGGGAGGGAGGGAGGGAGGGAGGGAGGGAGGGAGGGAGGGAGGGAGGGAGGGAGGGAGGGAGGGAGGGAGGGAGGGAGAGAGTAATCTTTGTTCAGTATTGTCTTGCTCTTCACTTGGTCGCTGGGTTCCACGCAAAGCACACGATATGTGTACATTGTTTTCTCCTTTATTGCACATTATCTACAGGTATAACAAGATCAAGAACATTGCAACAGTCGGTACCAGCGATATCCTGGGTGGATATGAAGTTGCTCATGACCTTCCTGGCTATAGATTCTCAGCACAGGTAATGTTCAGAAACCCCTCCCCCCCCCCCCCACACACACACATGCATGCCCCCCCCCACACACACACCCACACAAACACCCACATGCATGTGCACCCACAAGGGCCACATTGGGCCCACAGTGTCAAGATCACATTGGAAAAAAGGTTTCAGAGCAGACCCGCTCACTTCCCATGGTCTGCCCTGAAACCTTTTTTTCCTATGAATGAAGCTGCAGGAAGCCTCACCACTGCTACTAAGATCACGTTGACTTTGATCATCCTTTTCATGGTGTGCAGACTCCGCCAAAACATTGATTGGTCATTTTTTGGGAGAAGTTCAGAGACCATACCTGCATAATCCCCATTGCATTGATGATTGAGGCATTGTTAAAGACCTCGGTAACAACGACCTAACCAAAGTATGCACACTCGTACACTGAAGTCACAGTCGTCTGTCCAACACTTGCCACCACTCCAGAGCATGACACCGGGGTTCTAGCCAGGTTAAAATAGTGGGGGGGGGGGGGGGGGACAGTAGACCCGTAAGGGCACGTTCAGACTACCGATAAAAAGTGACGGAATGGGAAAGTTTCCAAGGTGATTTGATCACGTGACGTTACTGGCACGTTACCGGTGGGAAGGTTTTACTGCCGCGGCTGCTGCGGCGGTAACTGCATTCCGGCAGTAAAAAAGTGCTCAGGCTGGGAA